TTATGTTCATTATAAAATATTTGATTTTTAAACTAATTTAACTATCTAAGGTTACAACATAACCTATTCAATTCAATATAAAATTTCTTAGTTTTTCTACTTTCAAGGCTTATTTAATGTAAAGTTATATTATTGTTATTATTATTTTTAATTATTAACTACCATTAAAATTGATCTAGAAAGCATAAAAGAAATTTTATGGAATAGTTTTCAATAATATATTTCATAAATTGAATAGAAATCAAAGATGGATCAATATAATTCATGTAGTATTAGTAATAAATAACTTTAAAAGATCTTAAATAAAATAAAGAGTTTCACATAACATAATATATCTTTGTTTATTTAAATTTACATAGAAATACAATAAGGCAATAAAACAAGAATAGTAAATACATTATAAGTATATTTAAATTTTATATTAGTTGATTATGATGAAATCAAACGCCTTAAAATTTTAAATATTGATGTCACTTAAATCAATTTACTATTTTAATTAGATTAGTTAAGTAATTAACTTAAATCTTTTAATTTCAATTATTTAAATAGAAATAGAATTAGCAATATGTTAGTACCTAATTAATTTATAATCTTTGTAAATTATACTTAACTCTCATTGTTATATTCCTTGGAAGTGACTTGTACCTTGCTAGAGCGGAATTAGCTTATCATCAAGGATGAAGACAAATATTGAAATAAGCAACCCTTGGACCCTCGCTGCTCTAATGATATCTTCGCAAAGAGCCTCGATATTTTTGCAGGTCATAAGAAAGGTCAAAGTCAAAGATCAATGTCACAAATAAGAGCAACAAATATAAAGCACTGAACATTCTCCTTGCACCAAATTTGGGCAATAATGACACAGTTTTTGCAGATTTCAGTAAAAGGTTAGACATTGTTATGAAAACAGAACATTTGATATTCAACAACAGATGGGAAGCCAAGCTTTTCACAAAAGTAAGAACCGAAATTTTTGCTTTTTTCTAATTGTAGTGAAGTGATGTTTGATCAGATACTAGGAATCGATTTTGCTCGAATAAATTGTTTGAGAAGGGCTTTCTCCTCATCAAGGCGCTTCTTTGCTTCAGGATCTGTTGGTTTGATCTTCCTTTTCTCTTCTAATATCCATTTGAAAAGCTCACGCTGCTGACTCTCAGGAATGGGTTCAGGCAACTTCTTGGGTGCTGCAGTGGATCGTGTAGGTAAAGGTTTCTCGGTGGCTGGAGTAGTAGTTACAGCTGTTGTTGAAACTGGAGTAGAAGGGACAGATTTTATGGCATCTTCCTCTGTTATGTCTGTATCTTTCTTTTTGGTTCTCATGAAAGGTAAGCTGCATGTATCATGCAAATCAGAGGATTAGCACATCATGATCCAAAGAAAATAAATTGTCAAGAAAATGAGTTTAACAATGGGTAAACATTGGCCAAAAAGTGCAGACAACAGAAAACCAAAAAGGATGGGCAAGGGACCAGCAGGGAAAAAGCATGAGAAGAGAAAGAGTAGCTGTCAAGAGTTGGAAGGGTGGACCCCAAACAAGATATGAATTGATCAGTCGACAAAAAACAACGAAATGTTAGTAGAACCAGATAAAAAGTATGGAAGCAGAACAGTGATAATCGTCATCCATGTTATAACTACAGAGAACAACAGTTTGAAAGAAATAAAGAACATGCTTGCCATCAATACAAGAAAACAAAAAGTTTTTTCGTTTTTTTCTTTAACTAACCAACACTGCTTTTACTCATTTCTGAAAGCAACCACCATGGGTAATCATCACTCATCAGAGCATGGGAGAGGAGAGTTGTCTTATTATGCAACTAAAAGAACATGCTTTAATGATCATTAGTGGTTTATACTATCATTCGAAACTATCATGCAATCATGAGAACGTGAGACTAGAAAGAGATCACATACTGAGTCTACTTTCAAGTAAAAGTATCTACCATGAATAGAGATCACCTCACCCACTTATGGTACTCCCCCATTAAGTCATCATCTAACCTACAGTTAACATATTTTGGAAATTGTCATTCAAGTCACACATCAAATTAATCTATAGAAATCTGGTAATCAGTAATTTGGTGGGTGATCAGAAAGCATACAAAGAATTTTCCACTTGCCATTGTCACTATATACTCTGATGAATAAGGAATAGCTCCATATAAATGGGGACAAGGCTTAAGTTGGGGTCACCTTTACTAGTACGAAATAACACACACAGAATTCATATTTGTAATACCATAAATCATATTTGCTATGTTAAGAGTTGACCTAAATTACATTCACTAAGGTAGAAGTTGACCTAAATTACATTCACTAAGATAGAAGTTGACCTAAATCACATTCACTAAGGTAGAAGTTGACCTAAATTACATTCACTAAGATAGAAGTTGACCTAAATCACATTCACTAAGGTAGAAGTTGACCTAAATCACATTAACTATAGCAGGGGCTGAATAGCGGTGTGCAGGTCCAGCAGCTAAAGGGTTCATGATTAGCAGCAATATTTTCCTGACCAGACTGCTACACTTTTATGTAGATATGAATAGTTCTTCCAGCAGCTTCCACCAATAAAGTGTTTAATGTATCAAAGTTCTTCCACATCATAGAAAATCAATACCAGAATAACTGCCAAATGGAGCTACATTTAATACAAAGCAACATCATATAATACTAGAAAATAAAAAGAAAATTTTGCTTTTCTTTTAATTATTTTCATAAGTCAAGGAAAATATGTCAGCAGCACCAACAATTCCATTTGAAATTGAAAATGGTTCTATCATGTCACATGTACATGCACTAAAGTATGAAGACACCAATGCCAAAAGCAGATATTGCTCTAGATAGAGCAATCAACAAACAGAAAGATGCAACCAGTTCCATCCACATGGTACACGGCTTAGTTGGCATCAGTTTACCAGGATATGAAATAACATAGGAATATGAAATAACATAGGATTCAAAGTTGTAATAGCCTAAATCATATTCACTATGGTAGGAGTTGACCTTAATCATATTAACTATGGTAAGAGACTAGGAGACATGAGTTGAAAAGCATAGGGCAGATAAAGTGTTCCATTTCCATCACCAATCAAGTCATCAAATCGTAGGGTACAAGAATGACAAAATCATAATTATCCCTATGGATTTCACTTCAAAAGCAAGAAGTAACATGTTACAAATGGCTAAAATATCAAGTGATTTTTACTTATTTCAGCATTTTGGCAGCTTCAAGCCTTCAAAATATTTAAGCAATAAAGAACTACCTAGTGAAGCATGTTTAGGCTTGGAAAGATGCTCCCAAATTGCTACATCAGTGAGGTCAAAGCAAATTTTTAACAGCATGACTCAAGTTATCAAACAGAACAGAAATAGCAGGACAAAGGGAGGGGCGTTGTTAAAGAAAGAAATAACAGATTGGTCTAGCAACAGTCACAATTGCCACAAAAATAGCTAGAAAATCCAACAGAAGTGATCTGCTAGAAAATATCAACATTCTAAATGTCATCCTTAAGATTTAAAGATTTCAGCATAGACAACTCTTATAACCAACAATCCTTTCCTAGGAAAAATTGTTTATCAGCAACAAAACTAGATGCACGCTGCAAGCTTAAAATCTCAACATTCAAGTCAATCCCAAAGGAACCCGCTTCAACTTCTTTATAGTAAGCATCAAATTCTCATGTCCAGGCAGACAGACACCTTCTTTTTTCCAGGCATACACAGACTAATACAAAAGGAAGCATAATATAAATAAAAGAAAGAAAATGACCTCCAACAGTGAGATTGACACCCAACAGAAGGGGCCAAAGAAACTTGTAACGCCTTGCAAACGATTCCTTTGGAGGCGGAGGTGGCGGTGAAGGTGGCGGTGAAGGTGGCGGTGGCGGAGGACTGGGTTGCGACCCCATGGTATAGGAAGCTGCTGCGGCTGAGGAAGAAGATGGGGCCGATAAATCCTTCCCTTTCACATGCTCTTGGAATTGTTTCAGTTGAGCTGGTATTTTCAACAGAAAGTAGTCGAATCAAAGACCCAAAAACAATCCCCAAATCAAATCAAAACAAAAGTTTGCTTCTTCGAAACATACTTGATTGTATTATACAATTGGAAGTATGAAAAAGATGGGTTTTTTATTATACAATTCAAGTTGTCACCTTTCTTGGGTTTGTTGGTGTAGAGCTTCGGACCTTCGTTCATTGCTTACTGGATTCTTGATTCCTTGGAAGAGTTTGGTGGATGCTGATGCAACTCTGGTGCCGTAAAGCGTGAAAAAAGAATAAGGTAAACTGGTACAGTCCGTTTTGGTTCTCAATCTTTATGACCATCATCACTTTTACCCAAAACTTTCAGTTTGGGCCTCTAGTCCCCGATTTCCTTTAAGCCCCGTTTGGTACAGCGGTTTTAGATCCAGGATAGCGGTTTTAAGCCCTGTTTGGTACAGCGGTTTTAAGATCCAGGATAGCGGTTTTATTTAAACCGTTAAATATAGGTGTTTAGTAAATTTATATATTTTGAAATCACTACAACTAAAGTATTTAGTAAAATTTTTATTTAACGGTTTAAGACTAGCGGATAACGGTTAGGGTCTAAATCGCTAATAGATTGAAAAAATTAATTTATGTAACTTTTTGTACCAAACCGCTAACGGATTAAAATTTTTTAATTTTATTGACAAATTTATC